CATGTGGACATTCGAACCAGCAATCGTTCGCAAAGCGGAAACATATCACCTTCTCGGCTTGAAACTGGTGTATTCTATAAGTAAAGGAAAATTGTACAATCAGGTTAGACTAAAATCAATATACCGCTTCACTCCGGTTTATCTAACCTACAATTTTAAATAAAACCTATGAAAACTTGAACCTCAGACTTCAGAAGGAAATGAAGACAAGGTATGCGGTGCAAACGGAAAACCCTCAAAATAGTTTCAATATGACCAAAACAGTTTGCATCAGAGGAACCCACAAACAGTAATTGAGTGTGTGACGAGAATTTAGGTTTGCTTTTTTATCACCGGTTCATGTGATGGAAATTATTATACTTGATGCATCAGCGATCAGTTATCTTTACCATGACACCACACTATCACACTTCATTAGAAAAAATCATGAAACAGGATTGTTTCATTCTCTTGTTAGATGTCAATGAATTATTGGTCGATAGTTAAGTGAGATCATGCAAAATGTCCCTGTGGATAGATGACCTCACACTCCAAGTTCATTTATACCAAATAGCTTTACTTATTCAGATGGAAGTAAAGTTTTATTTTTACAAACAATTTGATATTTCTAATTTTATGAGACAAAATAAAAGATTATTCGTCAATCGGTGCCTACAGACAGTTTTCTGGTACATTCACTTTTGAATATCTATTTTTGTGAAACGTTGTTTAGCAAAGTTTTGTGACCATTCAGTTCACAAAACGCATTTCAGTAAAGCGACGAAAGTCTATAAACGCGTGATTAAATCACTGTAGTTCCCAATAAAACGGTTGTAGTGCGGAGCAACGTTTAGAGTACAATGGTGTGTTGTGGATAAGTGTATTTTGGGTTACACTGCAGTTTTATAATCCATTGCAGTAAATAACTATTGTTATAATGGATTGCGTTTCATAACTTTGTTCATACAATTTAACCTGAAACAATGCATGCAAAGCAAGGAGAAATTTGCTCTACCATCTGTTTTAGCACATGGTGGTGTTCGTATGAATCCCAAAACAACAAAACAATCATTCGAGAAAAACGAGTTTCTTATTTCTCGCAGTATAACACACGTGCAAATAGATTAAAAAGAACGGGAAGTTATATGGTGAATTTTCTGTCCGAGTGTTCCACCCACCCCTCCCGGGAATCATAGGAACATATCAGGTCAAGTTCATCGCATACCAACCGACTCGAAAACAGTAGTCAACATGTGATATATTATTCGCCTGGTCAGCTATACCGTACGAATGCTTTTGGAAAGGACACAAACAGTAGCAAAAATGAGTACTGCTATGGAAGGGAATTGTTTGCTAACCAGTTTTTATTCTGCAGTTGATGCAATAAAGAATACTCAAAAAAGGGGAGTTTGAATGAAAACCACTGGACAATTTTCTCCTCGTCTTGTTGTGCTATATTGAAAATTGTCCGAATATTACCCACACTGACGGGAATATACGGTCCTCAGGTTCTGTTTACGCCCTCTGTCTAACACGCTTGGAACGCATTCTACTAACTTTTCTAAGTCCATGCTTTGGTGTTGTCTGTAGAGAGCGTTTAGTGGATTTCCTTAAGAGTGTGCTTGAAGTGTTCTTCACGCCCCGCACTAAGTGATATGACGTAATTTGATATAGCGAGACCGGTAACAGACAGGCTGTAACCACATTATCCTAACGCATCACACTTGTCCAATAATCAACCCGTAAGTGCTCCTTCAGTTTTACGTGTCCCAGATACTGTTAACCACGTTTTCTCACACTGGACAAAAGAAAACGAGTACTAGTCGGGAAACAAACAAGCCACCTGAAAGAATCTGTTGGTAAAATAACTGCACGGAAGCACGGTATCGCTGAACCGAACTGCTCGGTGGTATTTTGTTTTTAACCACGAACCTATGATTCAGAGTCACCCAAACCGGGTTAGAAATATCGCTAGCAAAATACAGGCTCTATATTTCAAAACGGAGTTTGACGAATCAGATTATCGTATGGAGATTGTTTCCAAGAGTGATAAGTTGTAAATGGGATAAATCTTTTTATTTTCAGGTGGTAAACTTTGTCTAATGTCTAATAGTATGGTGGTACCAAATTCATCACAAATTGGCAAACAACCATAGTGCTATTTTTCTGCATTTTTTCCGAGTACATCATAACAAAGTCCATATAGATGTTCAGAAACCAAACAACTTCATGAATTACATGCAAAGAAAATTTGTTTGTTGATTACTTCGTTTTATACTTCTTACAGCCCCGAATTGTTAGAACAACTATGGAATCAGCTGTACCGTTTTCTACCCGGACCGTCAGTGTCACCTCAGTTACCATCGGGTAATTCTCTTTTTTTGTAAACTTCATATGTGTGTATGTGTACGTGTATGTTTTACTCCGAACTTCCATAATGATATGATTATTACGTTGATGAATTACAGAACACAATTTTTCTATTTTAAATGAGTAGCTTTATGTGATAGACAGAAAAAGGGAGAACCCAGTAGGCATAAAGACTAGTAATTCAGTTATTGACGCCTCCAAGTCCAGTTCATCCTAACTGGAGAATCACAGAAGACGAGATGGCCCACTACTAAACAACTGCCACCCAAGTTTCGCAGTGGTACGAGAGTTTGAACTGGGGATCGTGATTTCCAAGGCATGCCAGTGATAGGGGCAGAAACGATCTGATCACCGTTATCGCATGAAGCAACGAGTCAAGCAAGCATCTGATCTAACACAAATAGAACCAATGCAAACTGTACAGTTCCCTTTTTTGATTTATAGTACTCGTAATTGGCAAGGTAAAGATTCAGTGATATTTTAACTCGCCGAATATGGTTATTGGTATTTCTGACGGAACATACAACAGCAATCATTTGTTATTACGCAAGTGAAAATATTTTAGTCACATTAACTCCTGCAGGTGTTACGCATTCGATTGCTCGATCACTTTGTAGCTTCGCATCCTGCACAGAAATCAATATTTTAAAATAAAAGTTGAAAATGCATCACACAAAAAGTTAAAAATCTACGGAAATGATTGATTTCTCTGAAAACTTTCGACATGAGTGAATGTATATTGTATCGAACTGCTTTGACAAATTAGAAAGGGCTTATCATTTCCTGATCATCCTTCTATTTTTCACTCTATTGTGAAACTAGTAAAGTCAGCCAAAAGTTTAATAATCGAATAAGCTTTACAATTTAGGTCATAAAAAGCAATGCTATCCGATTGTCGGTGTTTCTTATCTTATCTCGATTAATTACATTTTGTGGAGGGCAATGAAAGTTTTGACAACTCGACTTTGCACTGATGCATGCACTTCTGTGGTTACAGTAGCTGTAAATAGAGCAGTCCCAAGCAAAAGAACCTACAAGTAAAACCTCCAGATGTGATCATGCATCTTGGTAATCACTGTACCATCTGATACTTGCCGGTGTATGCTAATACCCTCTGTCACACACGAGTGGCACATGTTCGGCAAAATCGTACCATCAAATACACGCGTCTGTTCTGACAGGAATCGGTATTTAGGGTGAGTGGAATATCCGTCGGTCCATAACCCAACTACTGATGTAGAACCGAAGAACGGGGTAGCGTAACCGTAGATGGATCTCTCATAAAAGCTAGACAATCATGTGATTGATGAACTTGCACGGACTCTTTCATTCAGGTTTTGAGAAATATAAATTGGTTTTCAGAAGAATGCTTCCGGTGAATATTGCATCAAAGCAAGCGAGATAAAATTTGGGATATGCCATAATATTCTGTACCCTAATGTTTTGGTTTGCAAGTTCTAACGATTGCCGAAAATAAGTNAAGTTGTACGTGGAAGGTATTCAAACCAACGTAGAACGAGTCGAGGAGGTTGTGATGAGATTCACGTGTGTGCAGCTACAACCAACTTTATGCAAGTGGTAGAGAGGTTAGAATTAAACGGTTAATAGTAAACTTGACGTTTTGATATCTTCGCAGCAAAGACGAACTAGGATTAGGAGTTAAGATATCAATAACATTTCCGTTTTTTAGATTTTGTACATTACTTGCATTTCAACATCTGAGTGCCTTGACACAAAGTAGTAAAATACAATGTATTATCCTAGGCAGTTAATCAATAAACCGAGAGTGGAATAAGACGCGATAAATTGTCCTTTGATTTGCAAATCTCCGGATTATTGCAACACAATGAATTGATTGTGAGCAGTCCAGTGTAACTTGATTTGAACTTCTCATTTGAAGCAAGAGTAGAAACATTCAGTTACTTCCTTCCCCAATCCAAATGCAAGATATATATAATCTTCCACTTCTACTGATTGTGTCCTATAGAAAACAGCTCCGGTCGGTCAAAGACTTTTTACAAACATATCATCAACATCTATGGGATTTGAGCATAAAATTTCCGGTTTGATGTACCTGAAATCCAAAACATTTGATAACTGTTTTTGTCATTCGGCCTACCATTACTTTTGAGTTGGCAATCTACCTACAATAAGAGTATTTTCACGAGTAGTGCTTTGCCACAGGCACCTTTCTTTAATCAAATGTTAATTCATTCATGAACAATAGGTCACTTAAGACGTGTTCTTTCTCATTTTCTGCCTTGGAGTTTAGCTGAATTGTTCAAAACACAAGTTTGTTGGTCTAATATCAAAGTTTAAAAATCTACTTGCTTTCAATTCTCTCTTTTGCACCATGGTTAAATTCAAAATTCGCAGCGATTGATTCCGCAAATGAAGGGAATATTACCTTGAGTTTTGTAGAAACGGAAAAAGATACACACAAACGTAGCAAATTTTAAATGTCAAAGCATATCAGTAAACATGACTCAACTGAATGAATCGTACTGTTCATCAGTGTTCCTTTCTTGCCGTTAGTGCTATCATCACCTTTCAAGTCACTCGATTTCCTGCGGTTTTCCAATCATCCATTTCGTCATCCAACCCACCCCCGCACACTCGTCCCGTCTCCTCCTGCTCGGTTCCCAATGCAGAATTGTCCATCAGCGTCAATATGGCTGTCAGTGTGGACAATGTCGAATTGATCCGTTCACACAATGGACCTGTGAGTTACATTTGTTCCACTTAATCTGATTTGCTGTATTATTCCCAGTTGCAGATTGTTTGCGAACTGATTGATGAGACTCATCTCGTTCGCAGGAATGAAAGTGATCAGCGGGTGGGGGATGTGCGGGTGAGGAGCAAACAATAGCTAGTGACAGTCCGTTTGTTCTCGTGCGAGAGAGAGAGAGTGTTTCCATGGGACACGCGGGGTGCCATTCTTTAAGGTGTTCACGTTGATCACAATTCAGAACAGGTTTAGGACGGCTGAAAAGGAAACTATTCTGGTCAGAATTGAATTTTTAAACAAGACCGACATATCTATGGTGTAACAGCGACAACAGGTTAAGGCTAGTAATCATTGGCCAGTGAAATAGTTCACGAGCAAGTAGCCTTCGATTCGGCTTGCATTTTCTTATCTGAGCATATTTCGACCGGTAGTTTTATAGGATCGCACACATTTGAAAAAGGTGCAAGTTTGGTTATTCTACCGAATGTGATCAGAGAAAAGATTGCTGTGAAAGCAACGTAAATACAGGCAGTTGAATGTTCTTTGGTGAAACTGTTTAATTTGGCTCTCACAAAATGCATAGGAAAATATGAGTTACACGTAACCTGTGATGTCGAAACATCTTAACTTCGAAAAGAAACAGATCATATATTATAGTTCGATAACGCAGGATACATTATGGGGTTCATTGGTCACAAAGCAGCATAGCAGAAAGATATTGAATGAAATCAAATAGCAGCACACTGATACCAGGAACATAGTTCTTTTCTCAGGTGCCGGCCAGTCACCAGAACTGAAATGTTGTCTTCCAAACCTTGGAGACCGTTTTATATCTCTCAGAACATGTTTTAACTGCCTCTAAAGCTCTGTCATCCGCTTTTGGATCGAGCTGGCTTGTTGACAGCCGTTGACTAAGCATTAATACTGGTCAAGTGAATATCTGGATAAGTTATTTGAATTCCAATTCCGTGACCAACCGTTTTATGATATTAATCTGGTAAATGCTTTACTAACTATTGGAAGTGCGTTTCGACAATACTGCTTGATCACGTAATAGCAAATAGTTCACTTAAAAGGCTTTTAGAACATCGAAAGATGAGTGCCTGCTGGCCAGGGGGCGACTGCAAACCAAAGCGAAACATCCATCCAGGATATTGTGAGGATGCGTTTTTCTCAGATACCTATTATGCGAAATCCCATTTTCTGAGTATATGTAGGTAGTGATATTCAACCGGTTCAGGCCATTGTTTCATCACTACGGGGTGGGGGTGGGTGGGTAAGCTTTCAAATGCCACCGCCACCTCCAAACTGTCATTCTCAGTTATTGAACTGTTTCTGTTTCCTCCATAAACTATACTGTTGCTTTTTTCAGCCAAAATGGAAGTAAATTACTATGAGATAGAGATAATCAACAAAACCCGATAGAAATATCTGGCCCGACATTTGTATCCCTGGATGGTTACTGTGAGCAAATGTGTTTCTAGATTTAAGCACTGTTTCAGTCGAGCACGAAAGAGCGAAGGTGCACTCTTGTAAAATACTTCCAAAACCATTGAAAGGATGGGAAGCAAATAATGTCAGTGGCAGGAAATAATGGAATGCAATGTGACTGTGGAATGATGTCGATTAAAGGACTGTCTACTTAAATTTCCCAGAAATTTGGCCCATCGTTTCCATCATCTTCTGTTTTTCTCCCCACCCCTTCCGAAATCTGTCCTATTTTCATGCGCATGGTGTCGTTGGGATCGGCAAAAACCACAATCATATTCAGGCTTGTCGCGCAAGTTTAACAGTGCTAGCCGAATGGCCCGTGACTGACGCCCGTGTGGCGGACAGCCGACTGGTCGATTTGATGAATGGCGCCGTTCGACTGGACGTGAATCGAGTTTGGCATCCGGAACTGGTCATTCCGGGTAGTTATCGAGTGCAAACGCTCGCGCAGCGTTTGGAATTACGCGCGGACACTGGGACAGTAGATGGGAGTACCACCAGTCCGAAAGCGTCTGGTACTTTGGCTCGAACAAATTTGGTGAGCAAAGCGCATTCACCCGGGCCGGGTCGATTACAATCGAACTTCTCACCTCGCGAAAATGTGGAAGAGACACAAAAGGCGGGAAGTCGGATTTCAACTCGAGTTGGTGTTCACAAACCGACCGGAAACTCCGAGGGTCCGAGATACGTTTATGTGGAAAGGTAGTCCCTTGTTCACGTGACCTAGCATTTCAAAGTATTGCACATTGGACTCAATTTTTTGGAGTGGACTTTAAAACATTGACTGGTCAAATATTTAGTGTTGAATGTATCCACAAATGATTCCTGGATGAACTAAGCCCCATAAACATTTACAACCCTTCACAGTACCCCCTTGAGAAATACACCCCGAAATAGCGGAAGACATTTTTGCTGCATGTTAGCTCGGTGAAACTTGGAATTTGACAAACTAAGCGATTTCGTTTAGTGTCAAATTTACTTTTGTAATATTTAAAAACTTTCTTTGATATTACCTTTCGATATGACACCTGAATTCGGTGAATCATAAAGTTAGAACATTCCCGGACTATGTGGCCCTGATTTCTAACTCCCTCGGGTTACTTTGAATAGTAAACAAGGCTCCTGGTTTTGACTCAATAAAGAGGTTTCTCTTATACAGATCCGGTATTTGCTATTTGGTTGGAGAGTATTTATTTTGTACTGTTTTCATCCATTGACCAAATTCAGCTCTTTATTCATAAAACCTTGATCGTTAGCCACTCTGACATCTACAGAGTCTATTGGGTGGTCATACAGAACGGCATTGACTAAGATATCGAAAAAAGAAAGATGGAAAAAAACCATTTTGTGTAAAAAGCGAATGAGAATAATTGTTGCATACCAGGATTATATCTAAGACATCATCATCAAAGCGATACATCATCAGATCTGGGAAGTGCCAGTTTGTCATAGTGCCAAATACATATGAAAATGAGGAATTCCATGACTAAACACCCGTGTTTATATTTCACATCAAAAATTTTCGCCTAGTTCTTAAATTGTAAAATAAAATAAAACATTCCAGCAATATTTCATCAGACCGTCAAAAGATTGATTAGGCTAATAGCCAGTCTATTGAAGATGCATGATTGAGAATGGCGGCAGATGGATAAACGATCACGTTTGGACCACAATTATCTCAGTAAAAAATCTCGACTATGATTGCTATATTTTTCACAGCCTCATCAGTATCCGCATTTGTTAACTGTGAAGATGTACACAGATGTTTATGGAGAATCAGACTATGAACATTCTGAACGTGCTTTATGATATGCAAGATGCAAAAGCGGGACAACGATGAAATGGAGCGAAGCTCCTGATTTGGATGCGTTTGCAGTACTGTTGAATGTTCACACTTTCCGATCCCAAATTGACAGATTCTACAAAGAGTGGATATCGCTAACGTGTATCAACGCATCGGCTTAGCTACTAACATATTTTTGAACGCGTCTCTAGTAAAATCAACAATTTTCCACTCTGTGTTGTTTCATTATGTTTTCACTTCTTCCCTTCAGTATGGCCGTGGAAGCCACATGCAATCAACCAAAGAAATTGAGCCAAGTTGCAGCGATTTTGTGCCCAATCCTTATACGACAGGGTGAGTTGATACCAGTCCTAGCCGCACAAAGTAACGAAGCTGAATGCTAGTTAGAATAACTGTGGGGCAGTTAGGCGACACCGACTGACGGTAATTAGTTCGATTAGATATTGCTTATGGTATCAAATATATTTTGCCTCGGGCGATCAGATAACACGGTTAATTGTTTTGAGATCAGCTGTCTTTTTGGGTTTAACTCCCGAGGTACTTCATCCGAAGTTGCCAAGTCATAAAAGCTACTCAGATGATAAGTTTATTCATTGGGTAAGCGTAAGCAGATTTAATCATTCAGTGGTGCCAGTATTTTTCACTTATGATTCAAAATGTGATGATAGTTAGGAAACGCGGGAAGGTAAATCCCTTCGATTTCCCGTCTGGCGGAATTTAGATTCACTGGTATGTTCCGAATGCGAATAACCTATGGTCTTCAGAAATTTGTTTTCCTGAACTCAGAATTCCTATAAAACATGATGCATATAAGGTCATTTTGATTGATGAGAAGGTCACTCAGAGATCAGACTCCCGCCTCCAGGACAAAGTTACCGTGTACAACACAGGTTCAATCACGATAAAAAAATCAAATCAGATTGGAAGAAAATAAATCAATCAAAGAATGAACCAAAACGGAAATTACCTGTTTCAATGGACAAACATGGATGTGAGAAGATCACAAAAGGAATCTCAAAATTAATTGTAGATCTTTGTATAGAAATGAGTTATTGAAAAATGACAACTGTGCATCTTCAGGATGGAGTGATTGAAACTGGTAGTCTGTAAATCAATGTCTCACTGGAGAGGAAATGTTGATAACAACTTGAATGATTGTGTGATTCCAAGCCAAAAGAGTTCGGTGCAACTCACAATTTTATTTAATTACGGATCACGGAGATTTGTGCGTCCTTTATTCATCTGCTACGATCACTACAATTACACATCGAGGGACTTCCGTTCGATTGTCGAACGGTGACTAATCTGTGAACAGAAAACTTGTGGTTGATTAATTGTCCATCCACTTCTTAATGTGTTCTATTCTTTATCTGATCAATTATTTCAATGACATTTCTCATTAATTATAAATAAATAATTTTTCCCTCTTCCTCAATAAACTTCACATACGTTGGATGCAAGCGTTCCAGTTTGCATTATTCGAATAAGGAGCTATCGTAATGATCATCATTGTCTTTCAGTTGGACACAGTCATTGTAAATTTATTATTAGTATTAGTAGTATTACTATTGCCATGGTTTTACCATTCAGTTATATAAGATTGGTATTACACATGTAGACCAGATACCGGTGATACGGAAATCGATGAAAAATTCCCTGAAACGAGTTTGACTGATTGCGGACAATAGAACGATCACTATTGTGTAAGGATAGATAGCTTCAGTGAGATTCAAACCCGCACATGGTGGCTAAAATCACTTCTGCATAATTTACACTCTATCAAACAGTCTAGAAGAGCGCACCCATTTTTTTCGCCTTCTTAGATTATAGGAGCACATAAGCTCGAAGAATCAGTATGAAAGCTGTTTTGTCGAACTGGATTCCTCTGAAATCCAACTTAATCTATAAGCTGATTTAAGTATGTGAACAGTTTTATCTGTCATGTAAGGCCAGACAAAAGACTTATGCTTCATGTGTGAAAGTATCAGTACCTGTAACACATATAGTGATGATATTTATAGTATGGAAAAGATGATTATTAAGCTGAGAACAATTTAAATTTTAGGGTGCATGCTAATGCCTAAAGTGCATAAGAATTCAAAGTTTATTGTGTTAAGTTCCGCGTAAAATTAAGCATGAATTTCAAGTGATTAGGAACCATTCAAATACCACTCGATTTCTCTCTAAACTGGGATAATATCAACTCCGGTATGCACTTTTCCATTACCGGGAACAAAACCTGAGATAATCTATTGAGTGAGGATGATCAAAATGACGGAAAATTAGAAAACCTTTCATACGTGAAAACCAATAGTTTCGTTCTCAATGGACTATTCTGGATCACGTCGAAATCGATCAGGCTGTTTGTGTTGCCTCAATACTCACATCTTCCCCCAATTTATGCTTTTCGTTCACATTTCAGGCGGACTGATGCACGTTCAACCAAGCATCAAATGGACTGAAAGAAAAAGCTGTCTTATCACAGAGAATGTACAACGACGAATTTCACATATCACAGTCACGAAGCTATTTGGACAATATATCGATCGACAAGGTGAGTTGGGAAATGTGCTATATGCTCATTCGTCCACTTTCACTGAAAAATGATGTGATTTATCCAGCGTTGTTTATGCATCTGGAGTACTGTACGGTGTCTCGTTGTCAATTATCTGGTGGTATCATGGGTCCTATTCGATGATATATTATTTATGGGTGACAGGACGAATTAGAAAAGTAATATCACATTAACAGTACTGAGAACTGTCAATGTTTACCAAAGTGTGAAGATGAAAAAACGGTCGAAACAGTGGTAAGAAGTATTCCCAGTGATTTTTGCATTGACTAATAAAATATTAGGTTATCCTAATCCTCAACATACAAGTTTTTATGTGCTTATCTAATTCTGATGCACTTAAAGGAAAAAATTACACCTTCCCATTACAGTAACTAGTTATGACGCCTTACATTAGTATAGTAATGAAAAAATACGGACACCGCCCTTCCCCCACTCCCAACACAGTTAATGACAGTTGCTCTTCTTCCCGTAAATCTCTATTTTAAAAAGTACAAATTGTTTTTTTTTTCCAAAACGTTTGACACTCAAGGTCAGCATAAGCTGAATTCAAACCTATCTCCTATTTTCCCGATTCCATAATTTGATACATTTGTGGGAAAATTACAACAGATACTGATCAACCAGTCATATACACGTTTTATCAATGCCATATTTTAGTTAAAAATACGGCAAATCAACACGCAGTTTCCTGATCCCAAACGGCATTCTTTTCGGTCCATCACCTGACAAATTTCCGCTTGTTTCATCCAAACATTTCAGGGAAATTTTCTGACAAGAATATATGCAGCTATTGTAACAGTGAGTTAAAATTACTTGTTACTGAACTTAGACTGCTAATATCTAACCCCAAACATCTGGAAGAAATACATTCCCGTTAGGTGCACGGGGTTGAATATATATCGGGAGAAGAGCGATGAGGTCTATCAGCCGACTCTCGTAATGCACAGAAAACGTTAAATATTGTGGCAGTGGGGATGGTTTGGAGACCTTAACTGCCCGATCATTACTGCCAGGAAGTCCTCTTCCCAAGTGATGACCAACGTCACTGGAATGGTTATCCGCATTTTAGAATAATTGAAGCTAATAATTTACTTCACTGGGATTGATAGACTGTTCCTATCCACCCGACTGTATCTCTGATGGTGAGCCTTATGATTTTGCTATTTGGAAACTCACATCTGCATTGTTATTTGACATCAGGGAGAAACAACGTTCTGTTCCATTTTGTTAGATTTCATTGAACATACAGATTAGTTTGTGTACCTGTTGGAATATTCGTTTAACAAATGAACAAAACATAATTTATCTGATATACTGTCATGCATTTACTCCAACAATTACCATAACGGACCGGTTATCCAAAACCGACAAACTGGATAGGTGACGGGATTGGAGGTGATTTTTGGCTCGGATGGATGCATGTGATATCTTTTGTGTTTCAGCATAGAAAGCAGTTGTGATTAGAAACTTTCACTGGGTTTTACAAAGGGAATGTTCCACCAATACTTTTGTATTCTGTTTCCCTAGGTTCTGCATCATGACGTTGCTCAACGCGGGAGAAAGAGAGGGAGAGAGACAGGGAAGTAGACGTTAGCTCCACAGCGGATGAGGTCGACTAATTCACATCACTAACATAACTAGTCCGTGTCAGGACAAACTAAAATTTCCGATTATTTACCTATTTCCAGTTTGATTTTTGCTCACTTTCAAATCCACTTGGTGAACTCTCATCGTGCAAACTCCAAATAAGGTTTTTATCACTTTAACCGACACGGAGTACACATTGTTTTTCGATTTTATTGTTTTAAAACGCTCCCTTTTATTTACAATCCCCACTGTTTCTGGTCCCGGAAAACCTCGTTGGATAAGTTGGTTTAATGGAATCATTCGTCCATAATCCCAATCTATTGAGACAATTGAATGAATGAATGTTAACCTATAAGTTTCTAATACCACAATCCCATAAATCGCTGCATAATTTACATCGTAAACAACTGAATTTTTTCAGTTCGAATAAAATTACACCAGGTGAGCCATTATGTTCAATCCTAATCAGGAAGTACTACAAGAAGTTTTAGCTGCTTTGCACATTCAAAAGTCTCTAAGCATTTGGTTTAATGTTATTTCGCTTCCGCTAATCCATCAACAAAACGGTTACGGTCATTCGACCATGGATCTTTTAATTTATGGAACAAAAGATAGGTCTCTGGAATATTAGGCACTGCTGTGTTCCGATCACTTTCACTTCGGAGGTAATTCTACATCACATGGGAATTGCAGTGATCATTTTACTGTCATATTATGATTAGTGATCACATTCAGAGAACCAACTTCAGAATTAACTAAATTTTATCAAAATAGCTTTTTACAGTGATCAAAGTGCTCGCACCTGATGTTTTACAGACCAATTTTGATTCTTCTTTTATATTCCTTACAGGGAATTAAATTCATCAACCATTCTTTGGCATAACTTACTTTCTGAACGAGGTGTTCTTCAATAATTCTTGACCCTCTGTTCCGATTATCTTACAACCTTCCGAATAGTACTGTTGTTTTTGTCTCTTCTATTTAAAAGGAAAGGGCCAGTATGCGTTTCAACGAATTCAATTTTTTCCAATAAATCTTGACGTTTATCAGTCCTGATAGTGTTGATATAAAGAGATTTTTGTAAACAAGCGGGACGTACTGACCAAGCTAATTCGTCATGCTCAGTTTTCCATCAACCACTTGAGTTTTTTCCGCTTTAAAAACGGAAGTAAAATTCNTAAAATTCATTAAGTCACCGTGTCATTGAAAGACAAACTTTCTTTTCAACTCAATCGGTTGACCGTGAAAATCCTAAATCCTATGATCATATAAGTGTTTGGAGCATGCAAAACAGATGCTCACAATACTGAGATCCCCACATCCGCACCTTTTGTTTCGTTCAGTGACAGCGCGCTATCCGCTCCATTAAACATTCTCCGTTTAGACATAAACTCCATGGTTGTATTNCTGTCTCTCTTGTTCTGCTCCCAAGATGAATGGTTTCATTTTCCATGCCTTCCGTAAGTATGTTCATTTCTTGTCTGTATTTTCTGCTCCACCCCACCAGGAGCTGATCATAGTTTGGGGGTCAATATATGTTTCCCACAAACAAGTCGAATTGTTCAGTACAGCCTGGCTCCAGTCTTCATCGTCCTTGCATCGTTGCTAATCTCGTGGAATGGACCAATTGGTACTCATATAATCACTTGGTTGCAGTTAACTTTGTTGTTGACAATCACCGGACTATGGATTTGGCTCAGTGGTCAAGAAATCGGAGTGAACGGTCGACCGGGTCTTTTAGACATCTGGCTACTGATTTGTGTGATCTCTATTTGTCTGACGAGCTGTTTGGCCATTCTCGAACAGCGCTGGTCTTCCCGAATAATCCGACAGCGTCAACGTCGGTGTTTGCGAACCCCGTCGCTGAGTTTGCTACAAAACAAAGCAGCTACCGTTCCCGGGACACCAGCGTTGAATGTGAACTCAGCTCTGACCGCGGGTTGTTTTCAGGGCTGTGCGTGTGGTGGAAGCAGTTCCGGCACATGTCCAGACAATTGTATCAGTTGTGCTGGAATGCAGGGGCGTGCAAGCGGAGGATTTGTATCACCCAACGGAACCAGTGGTGTATACTGCAGCAACAGCAGTTGTGGTGCATCCGGTCACGTTTGTCCCGGTTTGGGAACGCACGGACAGGGCAACTCGTCAAGTAACAGCCCAGCTCCAATGGGATTCAGTCCACAACCCATGGGACTCGGTGCGACCAAATTGGTACGATCAATTCACAACTACATGTTTCATTTGCTATTGTGATGAATCCACAGTCGATCGATTTGCTTATGAGACAAATGCCAACACTTTTACAGATCAATTATGCTGAGGTGACCCATAACCGGGCATTATGAATCTGAGGCACAAGAGGTAAACAGAAGTTTAAAAAGGCATGTTTATTTCATTGATTAAAGTACCCTACTGCCCTAGTAAATTTAGAAAATTATGGGTCACTTTGACAGTAAAGACATTTCACACGAAATCTATCAAAAACGTTCACACAGTCGAACACCATATAGAATGGAACCTTAAATTCAAAACCAAAGATCTGAATGGGAAGGCTGGCTGTAGGTAGTTACTAAGACCTAAAAGAAGAAGGAGAATGAGTGAATGAGTTGATCAACGAAGAATGTACCCAATACCAATGGCGCATGTTGTTAGGGTTTGAACCCTATTATCTCAGGGGCCGGGACACGCTAATAACACCGACCGAAAGCCGCTTGATCACCGCAGCTACCACCATGTCAGTGACGGAATTCTTGTTCACAAATTGCGAAGCGATAGTCTATCGATACAACAATCTAAACATATAAGCGCAATCACTGTACCAGTGTGTTGCTTGGGATGATGTTTGATTCCTGGATGGGAAAAATGGAATCAAAACATTTGGCACCAATGCCTGAACGATAGCGCCAATCAACTCGACAAATGATGAGAATAAGAGCAACTTGCATTAGTCCCTATGCAATCAAGTTTGTGAACAAATTGATAACAGGAGTGTAAACTCTTTCTTTAATAGAAGAGATTACAAAATTCTGAATAAACAAATAGCCGACATGGCTTGCATGGCACTAAAGCTAATTTGTGTGACCAACAACAGCGTGTAATAAACTCCATGTCTGAGTTGTTTAATTCTGATTGAGGGATGTTCATGTATCAAATTGAATTAAAGAAACACGTATCTTATCTACCACGGGGTGATGTCCGCAACCGAAACGAGTTCGGTCATTTCGAATCTTTATCCGTTTTGTTTGATACTGAACGGATCCAATCTCATCCAAACTTACGAGCACTTTATGCGTTTGAATGGCAGTAAATGAACCTGCGCACTCTCGAAGATGAGTCAGACATTTCACTGCACCTGGTCTCGCTCGTGTATGATTCATGGTGTTCAGATTCCTATTGAATAACCGCCACAAGTGTACAGAGAAAATACAATAGACGAGAGAGAGAGAGAGGGAAAACTGGATTAAGCCATAAATGGAATACCAGACAATGGGCAACAAATCTTATTCGCACTTAGTTGTAATCAGAACATTGCAAAATACGCCGAGTCTTCGTCATACCAGCGTTATTCATCGTGCCCAATCTCATCGCAAGTTGAGCTCACACACTAGCACACAGAGGAACAGCACATACACGCGCGCGCACGGGCGCGAGCACGCACACGCGTCCGAGTGTGCCGACACGAACGTCTTTCATTCGCAGCCGGCCGGGTTCTGCTTCAGACATGGCCCATTCAGGTTCACGTCGATCACGTCAACCACCCCTGCACATATTCCGCGCACCACGGTGTGCAGCGGTCAGGTTCAGGCAGATCATACCTGATCGGTTTGGCATAGTGCATTCAAGTAAATAACAACAACAACAACAACAACAACAACAACACTAAGTCTGATGTCCGCAAATGCTCGCACGGATGCACTATCATTGGATTTATTTACGCGATGGGGCATCAATCATTTGGATGGCGGGCCTAACCGAGAATCTAGGCAAGGTACACATGTAACCCCCGAAAATATTAGGGTAGGGGCCCCGTTTGTACTGCTGGCAGTATCCCTCTACGACAGCTCTTAGTTAGTTAAAAACTCAACACAGAACTCTAATTTTCGTGATTTCGTAATGAGCGGAAACCGCATTCAAATCCTTGTTCTCTTGTATTATTTCACTGAAAAGCCAAAAGTGTGTACATATGATTCAGTCACAACCGTGAATCCAATTTTGATTGTTCTTGGGAATTACGTTTCCGTTTACAAAGAGATACTACTAAGTGATCAAGGATATAAAAAAAAAAAACAAATTACCAAACAGTCGGTTAGCAGTCAACTTTTGATCAAACATCGATCTCCGAGCAGAGTCAAAAAATCATTTTGACTCACAAAAAAGACAACCGATAATAAAGTGTTTCGTCAAAGCCTGATACAGAGCGGTCCTACTTGATGAATGGCTATTTGAAACCACTCATTTCGGCAATTACGGATTTTGCTGTTCCCCTTGGTGTTTGTGCGTGTGTGTCTGTCCGTGCGTAGGTTGGAAGTAGTGGGTACATCGTTCGAGCATCATAGTTCGAAAACAACCGATACGAGGAGAAAAAACTGAAAGCTTTGAAAACGTTTGGTTGGTTGTTTTGTTTTTTCTCCCACTGATGATTTATGATTCTCAGTTGATGTAAGCACGAAACCCCAACCTCGTCTAGAACGCAAAGAGCAGCGAACATATTATATCGGTGAATGTATGGAAAAATTCGGAGTGGTGTTTAGTCATCGTTCAAAATGGGAGCCGTGACATGGATTGATCGAACACACCGAAACGTGAAACATCCAATCAGTTTGCTTTCCGTCAAACAAAGTCGTGCGTTGGTTTTAAGAACTGTACGACACAAATTTCTGGCTAGAGTTGAGATGATACATTTGTTTTGATACAATTTCAATTCAACAAACAATCAGATATTTTGTATTTATTCCACTCCGCAAGCCATGGTATAAAATGGTCAATTCACTGCTCATTATTTACAATGCGACAATACAAATGTTCTGTAGAATGAGAGAGATAAATTATTTTGGCTTCAGCAGAAAGGATTCACTTCGTTTGCCGCTGGAAACTACTGCATCCACACATATGCGAGCTTGGCGTATCAGCTTTTATTCCCATAGCAATCATCGGACGTAATCAGCGTAAAGATATGATCCAAACGGCAGAAGTATAGCATCAACATATTCAGAATGGTTGACATACAATTTCTTCATTTCATTACCATCCGTTCTGTGTTCTCGAATCTGTGATTGAGAGTGTACAATTTAGGTGTAACATTTTCCCACAAGTAAATCAAACGATGCGGCATGTAATCCGTTCCACATTGCTGTAAATATTGTAGTATTTAGATGAAGTAATTTAAACTGGAGCGATATCGACAAGTGGCTACGTCACATTGTTGCCAATCATACACTACGTACACTTTCCAAACTGTATTGTACTAACATCTAAGTTTGAATCGGTACTAGTCTAACCCCTAAACAAGACATCAAACAAAATGACCGCGTTCAAAACAGCTAGACCATTGAAAAAGAGGCACAACTGCAAAATGTCTTTCGCTCTAGACAACAAACAGACAGACAAACTCACTTTTGTCTTTCGAAAGGTAACGTATACCCGGTTATAAGTGGGTTTCATTGAAGTCCCAGTTCGTGACCGATTGTAAAGAGCAAATTAAAAATAGGTCAGAGCTGATTTAAACCCAGTCCTAATTCCAGTTTCGGGCACTACAAACTGCTATCAGACTCCGGTCCTTAAGTGCATTCTGGATTGTGAAGATTCAAGTCTTCATTTAACCGCTGTGTCTAAACCCAAATGTCAAAACCGCTGTTTAGATAGGGTTAAGGTAGGTTCATGAGTTACACCGACACCTGTTAAAGCTATGTCAGGACACAGAAGAATTTCAATTGTTAATCGGGACTTTTTCTGTAATAATGATGACAAATGGCTCACTCATGAATCACAAACTGGAAGATGAAATATTATCAGTAAAAACAGGCATTGCTGTCCACTGAGATCAATATGATATCGCTTTGATATTTGGTGCAATTAATAATGCAATGAACTTTCTCGCTTTTTAGGACACTTATAACGATGGGTTCCTCTGTTCAAACTCCACCGAACCACGAAACGGTGGAACCGGGGGTGCATTTCGTGGTCTCCGATGGCGTACCATGGGCAACTCACGCAGAAGCAACACGAATGTTAATCCAGCCCTAACGGGGATGGACCTACCCGACTGTCAGATCTGTTTGTGTCATCCGGGCAGTCAGTCCGCGGCAATTCAACCGGGCTCTCCAGCACCACCATACACGTCTGTGTGCAGTTCAATCTCATCCCACGTTCCGACAAACTGTTGCCTGAAAATTTTGAAAACCGCTTTGACTATCAGTTACTTGCTTATAGGCACCATTTTCTGGATAACTGTGTTGGCACTTGGCACAGTCCCCGAAGCGTGCCTGGGGGCATCTGTTTGTCAACCAATGATTACCGACTATTTAAAATGAATCGATCTGGTGTGGTTAGTGTATGCAATCACATGTGTTTGTATGAACTTATACTTATTCATTTAATTCCCTGAGAATCCTAGTCCCCGGGTTCCGTGTCTTTCCGGAGTCTACGCATATCTTGTATGCGTCTTTTTCACTAGACTTGGAAACTGTCTGCGGCACACTAGGAAACACGCACAATGATGCTACCGGGAACTTAATTGCGCTGGCTACTTGCATGTAGTTAGACAATGTATGCATTTTAAAATAACCGCGCCATCTAGTGGTGACTGTACATAAGTATTTATTTTGTTTTTCATTGAAGCCCATGAACCAAATAGCGAACCACACACTCTCATCAGCCCCAGTCCCAATCCCGTGCCAGGTCAATTTTGTTGCTTACTTTCGGTTATAGTGTGGTTCAGTTCAAAATCATCACCATCATTATCATCATTTTTCACTCCGCTCTCCCGTTTGTTGATTGGTGTGATGTAAGAAATAAACACTTTGCTTTACCTTTAACAGTGATCAGCTTTGGCCTTTTGCCCAAACTTCCAGTTGTATCTCATGCCCCGGATAGAGCAGAAAAGGAGTATTCTGTACAAAACAACGGTGACTATGACAAAAACCACGTTTACGTGAATCCGCACAAATTGTGACATAATTGTACGATCACCATAATCAAGCATAAGTTGGCAAGGCATAGTGATTGCTCTCTGATATATGCGTTTGATTTTCTTGCATTTACATTGAAATCACGTCAAGTTTCTCGAGCCCATTTAAATGAAGCAAAAAGCTACCGTAAACGGAAAGAAGTGCAAAGTGACAGTACATTTAAAAAATACTAACACAAATATGCTTCCGGAAAACTGTAATAAAGAGTGTTAGATTTACTGAAATACGAACAACCTAACGGACCGATATTCCTGTAAACAGCAGACGCTGGAATTGGAAACAAGTGTGCTGATATAATGCCGAAATAGTAGTATCAGAACACAGACAGTAGTCTTCCTTTGGCCTCAGGTTGTCCGTGCATGCTTTCATTATACCGTAAAATCTTTAATTAAAATAAAAACACAAGTGGATCTGGTATGATGGAATGAGAAAGAGTGAAGTATATCTTCTTTTTTGAAGCCGATGGAACTGTATGTATCCGACACGCGTTGATCGATTATGATTATGGATAGTAAAGTGTTGCATTAAGGAGAGAGTTTAGGAAGCAGACAGTATATGACTACGGAAGGCAGTAAGTGCATGCTAGGCCTGATGCAAAACATCAATGACCATATGAGAAGGAAACGTATCATCATATGTTTTCAAGACATTTGCTAGGATGATAGGCTTTGGTTTCTACTACCAATAAACTATCTGTTAGAAACGGTTTTATTGGAAGTGGTATACGCTCGTTTTTGGAGCGTTTCCCTTCCGCATATAACGCCAGCTTTATACACATACATCTTGCTTCCTGACTCATATTTCTAGTAATGTGATCGAGAAGTGTGGTCATTAATTTACCACAGGAAATCTATAGATAGGTGCAATCTATAGATCAAACTGAAAGATGGTAAAATTGAGATAAGAGCTGAAATTGTTTAATTTTAAGAAGTTTAATTTTAATATATGTATAATGTATATGTGTATTGATGTATAGTGATGCAAACTGAGTTATTACCTTTGAAGGTTTCTCAATCTGGAGGTAAACAGTCGATGGGAGTACATGTCATGACATCCATATTCTGGTTTAGGGATGTTCAATGTTCAATGTTCAATGTTCTTCAATTAAAGGCAGAGGGTAACTTCCCGTATGAGCCTCATCACCACAGACTCGAAGATCTCATTCATGATAGATCTGCATACCACATTGTTCGCAGGACGCTGTCGAGCTTCCTCTTGAACATCTTATCATTCACCTCTTCCACCACGTCAGCTGGAAGGGAGTTCCAAAGATTGGTTACCCTTCGCGATAGCCGGAACCGAAGAGGTAATCCTACGGACGAAAGCTTCAACAGCGTAAGTCCATNCAGTCGCATGCAATCGTTCGGTGTAGCAACACCCGCGTAACCCGACAATCATACGGGTGGCAGCTCGTTGGACTCCCTCCAGCTTCACCATTTCAGCAGTTGTATAGGGATATGCCGCGGCGCTCGCGAACTCCAAGCGAGGTCTGACGTGGGAGGTGTACAATGCCTTAAAACCGTCGTATGAGAGTTTGGAAAACGAACGACGAATGGCTCCAAGGATTTTCCAACTCAAGGCGCAAGCGTTGTCAGTCTGCTCCTTGGTTTTCAGCGACCTGGAAACCAGCACTCCGAGATCCCGTTCGCATGCGGACGCCAGTAAGGGAGTGTCCATAAGGTGGTACACTCTTGGACTGGGCTGCCGGCCAATGGACATGTAATGACATTTTGTAGGATTGATGGGTAAATCCCACACTCGCGACCAGTGCATCAAAGAGTCCAGGTCTCTCTGCAGGGTGTTCACGTCACTCTCTGACTGGATGGGTCTCCAAATCTTCAGATCATCCGCGTACAATAGACATTCCGATTCCAGGCAGTCTGGCAGGTCGTTGATGAAAAGCAGAAATAGTATTGGCCCCAGTACTGATCCTTGCGGAACGCCACTAGAGACCGTTAACCATGGTGATCGTGCCCTTGACGCTTTCACCGAGAATAGTCTGTCCCTCAGAAAGTCATCTATCCATGAGAGCAGCCGGTCCTGGATGCCAAACGAGCATAATTTCATCAGTAACTTCGAGTGAGACACCGTATCAAACGCTTTGCTGAAATCCACGAACACATCCGTAGGATAACCTTCAGCTTTAGACTCCGCCCAATGCTCACGTGCCAACAGGAGATCGGCTAGTAGGATAACCTTCAGCTTCAGACTCCGCCCAATGCTCACGTGCCAACAGGAGATTGGATAAACGGCCCCGTCGGAAGCCATGTTGTCGAGAAGAAATGCAATGTTGCGCCTCTAGGTGACTGATAATGTGCTTCGCCACTAATTTCTCTAACACTTTACATGCTACACAAGTCAAACTCACAGGCTGATAGTTTATCGGGGCATGTTTATCACCACCTTTGAACAAGGGAACAACCAGCGCCTTCTTCCAGTCCGATGGTAATCGGCCAGTCCGGATCAAAGTTATTTTTTCAGTAAGGCTATCAGCTCCAAAGTCCGAGGATTCAAACTTGTCATAGACAAAATTATTTAGTGAAAAACAGCTTTCCCATTGTTCTTCAATACCACATCTATACTATTTAGTCAAATCCACGCCTCTAAGAAAAACATTCGGGTATTATCTCACCATTGTTCCTAACCCGACTGACCACCGAATTCAATCGCTCTGTTTTCACGTTAAAACGAGTAATAAACGCTCAATACCAACTGCTTTCTGAGCCTAACAGCCACGTGATAGTAGGTAAGTAATTATACCTGAAATAGGTCTTCCAAATTCACTACTTCGAGGTCAAGTGCTGCCAAGAGACAATTAATTAAGTGACCCACTAATTCAAAAGCGAATAAACCAAAGAATCGGTCAAAAGCAGCAGACTATTTGACTTCGCGTGAATTGTTAAAGCCCCAGACCGGACTGAATCTTTACTACATCACAACATATAACTTATTTCAATCACGATATCAAAAAGCGCACTCCTTGTGGAACATATAGTTCCTCTCTCTCTCAAAGAATTTCGGTTGAAAATGATGATGATAAACTACCCTCACCCCCAAATTTACGCATTATCAAGATCCTTGTACTCGTCCGGTGCTTTGAGCTCAGGAAAACGTATATGGCGCGTGTTCAATTCATCAAATCAGAGTAAAGCAATTCAGTTGGGTGATTTACTCATCAAGAGATTAATCACCTGTTATAGTAATTTTCCAAT